AAGTTTGGTAATTCATTTACGAAAAAAAACTGGATTTATTGGACTAATTATTTCGTTACAAAGTGTAATTAACATCTACGAAGACTTTATACGACCTTGGAATGGATATCTACTTACTTATAAATTGTCGTAGGATCATCTGGAAATATTTTTTAGTTGTGTTCGTAGCAAAGGTGGATATAATGATAATCCAACTTGTTTACGATTCAATAATATTTTTAAAAAACTGTTAGTTCGAACGGATGTCAAAGGGTCGGAGAATGCGAATTGTATTGCATTGGATGATACAACAATTTTGCACGTCTCATCAACCACTGATCTCAATGTACAAGCAGATAATCTTGTTAGCGATGAAAATCCATTGAACGATACGCGTTATTTCGAGTCATCTATGACTGAGTCAACGGATTTTTATGGTCAAGGAGCTAATAAAAAATTTATTGACAACGTTATCGAATATGTAGCGGGTTTTATAGTGTGATCAATAATAAAAATTACGCGATGCGTCCAATGCNGGCCTTCCTTTTTTTAATTTCGTGTCGATTTCTTCTTGGTCCAATTAGTAGAGAATTATTATTATTATCATTATTATTACACGACATCAGATTCATTGCTAATTTTTTTCGGAATTCGATGCTTGTTATTTTTCGGTTTGTAAGACTGTTATATATAATCCATGAATTCACTACAATTGTCTATCACGCCGCGTGGGGCGTATACGCCCCACGCGGCGTGATAGACAATTGTAGTGAATTCATGGATTATATATAACAGTCTTACAAACCGAAAAATAACAAGCATCGAATTCCGAAAAAAATTAGCAATGAATCTGATGTCGTGTAATAATAATGATAATAATAATAATTCTCTACTAATTGGACCAAGAAGAAATCGACACGAAATTAAAAAAAGGAAGGCCGCTTTAATTCGATAAGGCGCTGTAAAATTTGTTACGAAAAAAATGTTAAAAATTTAGGTTCCCAATCGACAAGAAACTGTACTGTAAAAATTGCAACATTCTGCGATAGTTGTGTGGATAAACCACACCTATGTTTGCCATGTTTTAACAAAGTTCACCGTAATATCCCTTTGTGATTGTATACAAACTTGATTTCAATTAAAATGTTTTATTTTAAACTGATATAGGCATAATAAAAATATTATATGTGAGGATGCAACTCGCTTGGTAATGTTCAGCCAGGTATTTGTTAAACTAATTCCTAGAAAAATAAATTTATTGGTTTGTTGTGTTATGCATCTTAAACTATACACCCTTTCCTTGATAATTATGATTTTTGCACTATTTTAATTATTGTTAGGCATACGCCAGAAACAAAACAATATAATTGTAAAGCGTGGGACGCATACGCCCCATGCGGTCTGAACGGAGTCTTCAAAAAACGGTCTGGCAGGGAACGTGTTAATAAAACCATGTGATGACGTTACTGTGATTTGTAAATTAATTGAACAGAGTATTCGAATCTTTTATAAAAATAAAAAAGGGATGTACCAAGAACTGTATAAAATATGCTATAATAGCATACCGAGAAACGTTCTTAAGATTAGTCATTCATCGAATCCCGATGAACATAGAAAAAACATAATTTAAAAAATTGTACAAAAGTATTTACAAATTAGAATTAAACATTTAGAAACTCAAAAGAAACATAAATGTAAAAAAAATATTCGAAAAATTTATAGAAAATTAATTCACCAAAATAACGAATAAATTCTTGAAATAATTCTAAATTGTTTTTATATTTTTTTATTTATGATAATAAACACAAATATTTTATAAACATTTTTATGATGTGTTACTGATTAAACATATTATCTATTATGTTACATATCACACTGCAACATTAATTATTTATGAAAAAAAAATTTATATCCTACAATAAAATACATGTATCAAAAAAAAAAAAAGAGAGATTGGAACCCCGAACTTCGTCATGTTGTGGAGATTAGTAAGGATAGCCCGGGAAGAATCTAGGCATGTGCCTACTGAGTACTCGACACAAAGAATAAGAAAGACTCTTTTACTACGTAGAGAAACACTAAAACGGTGCAACTTCAACGGCGGGCTAGTTTCCACTGTTTTACTGTCGTACAGCGACAAAAGCTAGCTCGCCGGCGGAGTGGTGGGAGGTGAGCTCGCATGCAAGCATAGAAATATAAGAATAGAGGGAACAAGCCTGTAAGTGGAAGTGATAGGGCAAAGAGAGAGATGGATGCCGAGTGTCCTATCTGTCTCTTTTTAGTTGAGCGCTGTGATTGGTTGTTACAATGAGCCGCCAAGACGACCACGCGACGTCAGGAGGGGAGAAAGCAGACTAAAATTTCGTTTTGTAAATATGCGTGCACATGAGCGACCAATGAGCGTTCAGTAAGAGAGAGATAGCTGTCACCTCTAATCTACCTTTCTCTCTCGCACCCTGACCACACTATTATAACACGGGCAGCATAAGGCACGCTCCCTCCAGTAGTATGTGCTCTAAGGATATCACTCACAAATTATATATATAGTGGTGATTATTTAGTTTAGCTACGCCAGCACAAATATGGATGAAATTATAGGTCTGTTCGTTTTCGCTGCACCGCTGAACTAGTGCAATAAGTTGAAGTGAGAAAACATATACTTATCTCGCTTCAACTTATTGAACTAGTTCAGCGGTGCAGCGAAAACGAGCAGACCTCTTAATTGCACTTTTGCACTGAACTGAACTATTCTGTACTAGTTTTTTCCAGTGCGGTTCAGTGCAGTTCAGTGCAGTTCAGTGCAGTTTTAGTGTAGCGAAAAAAAATAGACCTATAATTAGTTAAATAGTTACGAACGATTCAAAAATTCGAGTTTTCGTTCGATACTGATGACCTGTTTTCACCATCGTGGTTTAAATTTGGGCCTGTTCTACAATACGCCATACGTCGGAGTTGGATGTCGGAACGCAGCCGATGTTCCAATGGGCAAACTCGTTCTCGAAAAACAAATTTTCTCATTGGACTATTGGACGGCGTATTATAGAACAGGCCTGATCGATGATTAACTCAACGGAATTGATCAATCGCATTGACCAATTAGCTGAACTGATCAATGCGATTGGCCAATTCCGTTGAGTTAGTCGTCGATTAAATTTAAGCCATGATGGTAGAAACCGGCATGATTGGATTAACTTCATCATACAAATATAGTCTATGTTTCGATCAAAGGAACGTAAACTGTTAAATATTTTTTTCCATGTTTAGACATTGCGACGACTTATGCTTTCTGAACTACCAACGTTTTTAGGTACTGATATAAGTAATGAGAAAAATATTTATCTCTTAGTCGAATAATTGAACAGATGCATGCAAATCTAGCCCCGGTAAGTACTAAATTGTTTTAGAAATACCGGCAATGAGGATTAAAGAACAAAACAGTTGCGAAACTATTAAAAAGCTTTAACAGTGCACATTGTCCACTGTTAAATCGACTGTTTTAATTTTAATAATCACGATGGACCGACACACGTATCGATTTTCGAATCAACCGCTTTATGACAATTATTTAAGACAATTTGATGTATTGATTTAATTCAGGAAATTATTGTAACTTCAGAACTGTATATTACTGTGTACACATTACAGCTTTATTGTTAGCAGAAAAAGATTCTTTCGATATAAGATTCTTCTCAATATATTTCTTAATTTCATGCTTTTTTGCAGAGATCGAGCGCACAAAGTTAAATTCTTCCAGTGGTTTTTTGTACTAATTGATCAATAAAAAGGCCTGAACAATAATAAGATATTTAAAAAGACAATAATATCTTGTTTTGAGGAAGCTAATGACGAAAGTACGGACGAAAATAATCACATTTATGAAACTGTAAACATTTAGGTAAACATAAATAAATCTAAACCTAAAGTGTCAAATCAGATTAAGGTTGCGTTCTTTCTGAACGCTCACGTGCTGTAAGCGTCATTCTAACTTCCTTTGGCATGTAATAAATAATGAAGAGAATAAACACATATACAGCGTATGAGCGTTCAAAGAGAACGAAGCCGAGATGAGAATCTATTTAGAAAAAACAAATTTCCTAAAGACGTTTCAAAAACGTCTAATAGACGTTCTATTTTTTTTTTAGATATCTCTCAGATACTTCAAAAGGTCTTTTATAAATTTGTTTTATCTAGGTGCTTGCTGTAGGAACAATTCAAATTCGAACCACAGCGAGGGCGCTGCAGGCTTGTACGTAAATGTAACCTAATCGAGAAATTGGGTGAAATTTCTAAACACGATAACATCAAAAGTTTTCGTGATCTCGAATAGGAAGTTGGGAGAAATAATATTACGTGGAAGAAAGAACGAATGACATGGAAAAGTCGCTGTGATATCTTGGTTTGTGCATCGTTAAATGCATACGATAAAATACAAGAAGTGTTCATGATGCAGGGAAAGCCGAGAATATAAAGGCAGTCAAGTATTGGAATGACACTCGTGACATAGACGACGAATACGATACTAATCAAAACAGTTTAGTGAAATTAAAAACAATACGAATAAAGCGTCTAGTGGAAGTAACAACATAGTGAACTGTAAGGATTCAGACGTATCTTCTACTGATAATTCTAATAAAAACTCTGGCCCAAACAATATGATAGATGCGGAAGGTCTGACTCAGGAAGAACTGTCAACGCTGAAAAGTGATCTTGTGGGTGAAAGTGCTTACAGTGCCCGATGGATATTAGGTGTCCTGAAATCTTTGACTCACGTAATTATCTACAATAATCAATCTTTCTGTATAATAGTTATTGTATATAAAATATAGCGATGCCTTTCTAACGAGATAAAAAAATCATAAGTAAGGAAGAAGCTGTTGCATGTAGTTGTAAGAGACTGCACAATAATATATATGGGGCATTTATTTGATTGTAATTATATTTATAATCTTGGTTCTTATGTATGTGAATTCATATTTATCTTTAGTTATAACTTATAGTTGTTTACAATCTTTACTGGTTTATAGTACCATTAAATAAAAAATAATTTATGCAACATGATTGATTACAGGTACCTGACAATGGTTTTACAGATGAGCTAGAAGATAGATACATACTTTTACTTGAGATTAGTATTGAACCTGATGTGAGATGCTTTCTTATAGATCAAAACTTCATCAATCTAGCAGAAATTTTTTTGGAATATGATGAGTCACCTAAGATTATTGTATGATATCTTTATCATATTATCTTTACTTTTTCCATAAAAAAATTATATTTTAGTACCCAAATGTTGAGAGTTACATTAATAGTTAACAATATATTTTTAGGAAATCACTATAGGTATTCTTGTCTGTTTATGTTACGATAAAAGAGCATTTGTTCAATTAGCCGAAAAAACAAATACAGTGGAAAGAATTTTCGGATTCCTGAAATGCTACGATTCATTGATATTAATTCAGATTTTCAAACTTGTGCAACTTATAGTATGGCAAATCAAGAATACTTCCAATACGCTCTGGGCATATCACATAAAAAAATGTGAATGTCTTGGAGAACGTATAATCTTCATATTAAAATATTCATCTTGTGGTAAGTTAGCTATATATATAAAATAATTCTATTTTTATTCTCTTCATGTAATTTTTTATATTTACATTGTAGGTAACTTATTAGTAGAAACGATATCTTTGCTTCACTATATGTCATTTGATTCTGGTCATTGGTTGATAGAAGTTTTCAAGCGCTCGTCGGATGGTTTGGTTTATGGACTATTAGAATGTTTTCTGGAAATAATAAAAACGCCGGAAGATAGTTATTCTTCTGACGATGTGAAATTTATAGTAAAATGGTTGGAAGTATTTGATACTATAGAAAATATACCTTCCATAAATTTAACATTTGCAGAAGAATCAAAATGGTTGGATGTTATGATCAGATTATTGAGGCCATACAAGAAGTGTACACAATTTACAGAAGAGGATACTGATGTGTTTCAACGAACTGTAAATATCATAAAAATATGGCATTCTTCTAATATCAAGGTTCCGAAGAAAGTAATGCAATATTTGGCATATGTAACCTGCAATATTGACAACGGTATATAATTTTATTATAAATTATAGATAATTCAGAGTAATTTCTATCACCTGATGATATATTTATATTGTGTTTGGATATACCAGCTTTCAACAGATGTTCAGAATTTGATGAGTCAGATGAGTTATTCTCTATACTTTATAAAGTTACAAACGAGTACTGGTTGAAGATCATTGAAATTTTTGACAAAGATGAAATCATAGAAATAATGCGTCCGCTTAAACCGTGGGCTCGTAAATATCTAACGAAACTTAACAGTTGTGACGAGAAGATGGAATATTCAAAATTTGTAAAAATAAGGGATATTGTCATTGGTTGTGCACTACCGCAGGGCATGAGCTCTTAATATGTATTATTTAATATGTATTATATTCGACAGAAAACTCTAGTTTTGTATAAATGTTTGTCTACTACTAATTTTAGTTATATAAATTGTATAAAGATTAGATTCCTAATAAGCAATCTATTAGCAGTCTGATGACAGATTAAGCGAAATCTGTGGGCAGATTCATAGTCATCTGTTTCTGCAATCTGCTGTTCTGTCAATAGAGCCTGCTGATAGAATCTGATAGCAAATTGACGGTAGAAAATGAGTAGTGAGTAATGAGTAATGATAGGAACTGCAGTATGTTCCATTTAAATATATTGGAGTAATACAACAAATCCTGTTCGATTTCTAACATGAAATAGTCATCAGGTCCTGTTGTGTTTCCAGCAAACTGCTGATAGAGTCTACAGTAGACATTCTGCAAAACCTACTTTAATAAGTTTAGCTAGCTGCGTTGTAATCAATTTTAAGTTGCGTATATATTCTCTATAATTCAGCAAAGAAGCAGAGAAACGAACAGCCGCTTAGTGACCTGCAATACTTGAAAACTTTGGTTGATCAATTGAGAGATTTCCGGCAAAAACGACCGCGAGCTTCTACTTCGCAGAGCAGTTCTGAAGATATCCGATTGAATGGGAAGCTCCATGTTGTACTAATGGGAAGTAAAAGGGATTGCAAGGTTTGTTCCCAACGAACCAACTCTGGCAAAAGGCAACAAACTGTATACTACTGTGACACTTGCCCCGACAAGCCAAGGATGCATCTTGGAGATTGTTTTATAAAATACCATACGAAGCAAAAATATAGAATGTAATGTTTAACAAATGTCTTTCTTTGAACTATAAAGATATGTAAAATATTAAAATATACAAGTTTAACCCTTTTAGTGCCGGGAGCCGATATATCGGCTCCTGCTACACCGGCGAGAAGTGCCAGAGCCGATATATCGGCCCGCACCTTGTAGCGCTTTACTATTCGCATTGCGAGAGATCTCTATCAAAATAAATTTAAAATACGTTATAAATAGTCTAATTTCATTACGAGAGAATTAAAATAAATAATTTTTAAATATTGCTTTTCGTTTGGTTTTTATGAGCCTTTTACCAAATCCTAGTAAAATCGGCCGGTTATCTTCGCATAAGCACCTCTTTTTCGCCCGGCACTAAAAGGGTTAAAGTGTTATATTATGTCAGAAATCATTTTAAGTTAACTGTAAAAAAACTCATGAAATAAGCGGGAGCAGCTAACTCCTTTCGAGTTGCTGGTTCGCTTGAATGAAAAAGGCCTCGAGCGCAAAGGGTTAACAGTTGCGTATATATAAAATAAAATATATATGTAATTTCAAACATACAAAATTTGACTTGATTGTAATATTGCTTCATTAAATTAATTTATTTTGTAATTAGATATTTTTTAAATATTATCTATATGTATATTAACATATAGATAATATTTAAAAATTATCTCGTCCAGAAGTCATTGAGGAATTAAGAATATGTCGCACAATGTATTCTAATCAATTTGCGATGTCATAAATATTACTAAGCCATATATTACATAACCTAATATTTGTAAATACATTGTAATAAAGTATATTACATAATTTCTCTTAATAAAGCGTTTAAAATTTTTATAAATTTCCAGGAACACTCGTAACAATCTTATAAGATACTATATAGTACTGTCCAGTAGAAAATACTTTATTTTTCGTTCGTAAATTAAAAATAATTTGTACTACTTATTGTTTGATTGTGCCATAGAAAAAAATCTTGATATCAGCAAACTTCGTTACATGAAAATAAAGAACTCTCCGATCTATTGTTGAGGTTATGCTGTCTGAGAATAAAAAGATCTTTTGAATATTATTAAATTTATTGAATATTCGCAAAATAAATAGGATTAAAACCCAAAAGTCGAAAGCACCTATCAGACTACGCATTGGAGATTGAGTTGAAATTTGACTAAGTGAAAAATTTACTAAACTCAGATTTAGTGAACTTTACTCTGATTGGTCAAATTTTAATTCACTCTTGATCTCCAATGCGTAATTTGACACGGGCTTTAACCGGAGTTGAAAATCACCCTAAAGGGTGTAAGTGCAACCTAATTCAGCTATGAAGAACATACTTCTAGATTTGCTCTTGGTTCCAGTATACGATTAAGTTTCTAAAGAAAATTCTTTATGACGACGTCTCCTGACGCTGATCCTTGTAAGAAATTTGCCTGCAAATTGCAAAAGTGTTTAAACGGTTTGTATAGTTTAATTTATCATGGATATAATTTATTATTAAGGCGTCTGGAACGTGACTTGTATATCTAACCTCTTTTCTTGAGAACAAACGGTAAAAACGTGTTTAGACTAATAAAAATATATTTTACATTTTTGAGTAAACCTGTAGAAATGGATATGTCTAAAAAACGTTTGTAGAGCGCGTAAATGAGATAATGATACCTACTCATATATAAGATTACAGGTTTTTAATTGCAAAATAATTCCTTATCTTTGTGGGAGCAATATACGTAATGATATTATGGAGAAACATTCTATTTTCAGAGAATATCTACCAACCATCTCGTTGTCAAGAAGTCATTGAGGAGTTAAGAATATGTTGTAGAAAGTATTCTAATCAATCCACAGTTTGTGAGGGCATAAATATTACTAAGCCATACGAACATAAAACTATTGACTTTGTAAGTTTAATATTAGCTGTACCAAATATATATTGTCATATATTCTTTCTAAGCATAGTCGGAATTATTTTTATTTAAATGTATAACTTGTTGCAAATTCATAGTTGTTACAAATGAGATGACATTTGGTTTCAGCGGAAAGCCTTGAAATAAAAGATGAGGGACAAGGTATTAGGGAAGAGAACTTTGTCACAACGTTTTCCACGTCTCACTATTTCTGCAGGTACAATATTGGCTTTGAGCGTAATATTCAGCAAGCAGCTTTGCGATGTATTTGGAATAGGAAGTCAAAGGCGACAAATGGAAAAACCGGCCATTAAAAAAGCTTAAATCAAATTCGTTCGTACGACAGTAATGGAGGCAGTGAGAAAGGCCAAGGAGAGATTGAGACAGTATCCCGCTCTAATAGCCAAATGTCACGAATCGGCATCGAAGTACGCGTCATGCGTGTTGGCGAAATCCAACCTGGAGAAGAACGCCTGCGCCGCGGAGTTTGACGAGTTGAAAAGATGCCTCGTGAAAGCAGCAGTTGCGAGCGGTAACACGAAATTATAGATGTGACCGGACCTTAAATTCCCTAGGCACCCGTATGTTTTCGATTGAACATTTCCGTTTTAAACCGTTACTCGACAGCAATATGAGAACGATGGATACGATATGCCGCAAAATAAGCGACTCGTCGTTCACGTCTCACTGCGTGTCGGCGTTCCTCGTACGGCTGCTCTTGATACTGTACGCCAATGTTCACGACGGTCTCTTCAGCGTGCCGTACACGGACGTGGACTACAAAGTGTTCACCGACGCCGCCAGGTACGTGACGGAGGGACGATCGCCCTTCGAGCGTCACACCTATCGCTACTCACCATTGTTGGCCTGGCTCTTGACGCCGAACGTCGTGCTGCACAAAGACTTCGGCAAGCTTCTGTTCTCTGCAGCGGATATACTGATAGCGATCTCGATCAGGAGCGTTCTCGCGCGACAGAGATGCAACGCGGCCACGAGGGAACTGTGCGCGCTCCTGTGGCTCTGCAATCCGCTGACGTTGGTGATCTCGACGAGGGGTAGCGCGGACTCTTTGGCGGTCCTCCTGGTCACTCTTACATTGGACCTGCTGCAGAGGGACAAGTACGTATCGGCTGGACTGCTGCACGGGGTGTCCGTGCACTTCAGATTGTACCCGCTCATGTTCAGCCTGCCGATGTACTTGTCCCTGCGCAAGGGCAACCGCTTCTTGCCGAACAAGGACCAATGGAGGTTCGCGTCGAGCTGCGTGCTATCAATCATCGCGTTCACCGCCACCAGTTACCACCTATATGGCTTCAGTTTCCTGCAGGAGAGTCTTCTCTACCACTTAACGCGCAAAGACGCCAGGCACAACTTCTCCGTCTACTTCTACATGCTTTATTTGTCCGCCGATCAACCGCCCGACGTGGTCCTGAAGGTTCTCACGTTCTTGCCGCAATTGCTGCTGCTGCTGGTCACGTCGTATTATTATTCGGAGAAGTCCGACTTACCGTTCGCTATGTTCGTCCAGGCGATCATTGCGGTGATGTACAACCCGGTCTTGACCTCCCAGTACTTCTTTTGGTTCTTGTCCCTGTTACCGCTATGTCTGCCGAGCATCGGCATGAGCCTACGCAGATGCGCGTGCCTAATGTGCATTTGGATCGCGAGTCAGGCCGTTTGGCTGCTGGCGGCCTACCTGTTGGAATTCCAAGGTTTCAATTTGTTCGGTTTACTGTGGTTGTCGGGCCTGTTGTTCTTCGCTGTCAACGTGAAGGTCTTGGTAGATATCGTTAGTCATTACAAAATGTAATTGTTACACTGTGTGTCACCGGGTGAGACTCTTCTTCGGGTCTCCTCGAATATGTTACCCTTTGTTTATGTATTTGCAGAAAATAAAAAATGACTGAAAGCGCAATGAATTTCTCTCTCTCCACCAAGCGTCATTAGTGCATAATGTGAGCGGCCTTAAAACGCGCGATCGAAACATGAAATAAACGGGAAGGCGAAGAAAGAACGTCTAGACGAGTGTGCACGTCGTTAAACTAACGCTTTCGCTTAACTAAACATTGATGTTTACCGATTTTCAGATGGAGTTCGCGTCACCGTTATATTTGAACAGCGCGCGACCGATGTTGATATTACAAATATAAAATATTTGGCACGCTCACACAATATAAATATGCTCGACGTGAGTATAATTGATTTCAGACGTACACGCGGCTCGGGTGCAAAAAGAATGCTGTACGTGGGCTTGTTTCGTCCGGTGCTTGGGAATTAATAATCGATCTGTCACAAAGCCGAAGCTACGGGTGATTTCCTCTCGACACGACTCCGAATTGATTTCCGCCGAAGTCGAAAGTTCACCGAACGCCGTGTATTTTTTACACCTGCCCAATTTCGATGTCGAAAGTAGCACGACATAAAAAAAGCACACAGACGCCGTCTCGTCGTTACATGCACGAGAGAGTTTTTCATTTGGGAATTTCCGGCGCGATTCCGCAAACTTTTCCATCGTACAGCTGCGGTCTTTTGTGGCCTCCTATGCGTGATCTCTTTCCCTCCACCTCCTCGCCCCCAATAAACAAAGCATCCAATACAGCACACACGACGGATTGTTCAAAAAACTTGAATTTATTTAAGTTTTTAATAAAAAAGCACATATTTTATCTACAAGTCTGATTATTTTATAAAGTATCACTTTCATTAGTTCTACGCGGTATATACTTATATATCGGCGGTAAAAATATCAGACGAGTTATAATGATTCTTAATTTTATTTTTTTTTGCAGGAATACAAAATACTTATTTACAGATAGCTTCGTAAAGTAATAGTGGTAGATTCTGAAAAGGAATGTAGATATATTAGTAATAATACAATAATAGTAAATCTTACTATAGTAATCTAGATTAACTGTGAGCAAGAGCATCTCTTAGATCATCTTCCGAGACATTTTTCTTCATCGATTCGATTGTTCTAAGCTGCTAAATATTATGACGGTAATGTTATTGGGTCATTTCTTGTCAGATTGTACGAGTGTGATTATGTTTGTCATGCAAACGCACGTTGTCTTGTGTATCATTTCTCGTCAACGCCACTACGTTCTCTGTTCGCCTGATTATCCGCACGCGCGCGGGCAAGTTTATACATTAAATTTACGGTATGTGTATGTGTTCGTGTGTTGGTGGGTGTATACGTGTGTGTGGATAAAAGTATCTACATAAGTACACGCATCGCGAGATTTCTCTCATCAACTGTACCTTCAATTTTTCTCATCAACCGAACCAAGTGATCTCCGAGCGGATCTTCGAGCAGAATCCCGTGGTTTGTGTGCATTTACCATACCGTAACGCATAATTTGATTTAACCGCAGCACCGTCGGATCGTTCTCTCATTGTTTATTATTCGAAGTGTGTGGGGGTGTTGTATGCTTTTCGGCGAAAATCTCGGTGACACGACACGAAATGGCCCAATGGATACGAGTCGAGAACTGAAGTAGATCGTTTTTTTCTCTCTTTTTAATAACTACGGGTTTTTACGGCGGATGATGAAGTGCAACATATAAAAATAGCATTATTTTCTTTCATTGCTTTCATTACAGTTTGCTCAACTGTGTGCTATATGAAGTAATCTATTTTATTTGTTCTTTCTCTCTCTCTCTTTCTCTCTCTCTCTCTCTCTCTTTCTTTCTCTCTTTCTCTCTGTCTTTCTCTCGAAATGGATACACACTGGATCTCCGTCAAACGGTGTATGCGAGCGTTTCGACGGAGATCAGTCGGATAACGTCGAGGTGAGATCGTCCCGGGTCAAGCAGGGAATGAAAGTACAGGCCACCGATCGAAGCGATAAAATTATAAATAAATTCCATTTTGGCTGCGTGGCCCGGCCGTTACACCTCGAGGAACGTTTTACATTATATATATTCACACAAACTGATCCTCGCGTCGCTTAATAAGCCTTCCCTGAAAAATCATCGTCGATAGTACTGATTACACAAAGGAATATCGGCTTTTACGATTACGAGATAGAAGAAGACTTGCGCGTGTGTACTCGGGCAGATACGCGGCAAACGAAAGTTCACTTACTCTTGCCGAGGCACATACATGGAAAGTGCGAAAAATCCATCGAGTTCCTACGGTAATCCTCGCGTTAATTCGAATACCTTTTACCTTTAGGGAATACCTTAGCGCACGCGCGCTACTCAACGATCGAAGCGCAAGTGTAAAAGCGATTTTCCTAGCTTCGCGTTGCGGATATGAGATGATCTCGATCAAAGTTCCATCCGCCCTGCGCGTCTTCTCCGAGATCAAACGGAAACCGTCTCGCGGAAGGTTTGTAAAGAATATCTCGCAAAATAGTCTCGCGTCTCTTCGCCGAGGGACTCACGACGATGTGATTAACGCGACGCTGTGATAAACACCGAACTAGTAGGGAGGGGTAAACTACTGCCGTACGCCTTCCCGACGATCGGAACTTAACAATCGCGGAGCCTCAGAACTAACTTTACGACCCATGCAGCATTAATGTCCAAAACACATTCTAAAGACGCCCGAAAGATATTTTTCTTGTTTTAGATATTTCCGGGATATCTCCAAGATATATTCTAAACATTTCTGCCGTGTCGGGACGGCTGCTCGACGAATTGTCGCGGTTATTGTTGCCTGTATCGTCGGAAAGTCGTCCCAGCGGGGTAACGCAATTTGTCACAGCGCCGCGTCTCCGGATTACTTTGATTAGCCCTACGCATCGATACTATACAGAACAGGTGCGCCGATGCGTGCGTTTCACGTGCCCTTTGAGATGATAACGTAGAGAGGAGATAACTCCGGAACGTCGTTCGTGACATTTCCACGTCGCGACGACGCAACGCGCGTCGATCGCGCCGGGGATTATACCGTTTTATCTCGGCCTTGCGCAAAATGAAACGTACGCGTTGTACACGCAGAAGCGAGATACGCGACAACGTAATTTCCGATATATCGACGTATCGCTAATTGTGCCGTCGGATAAGGTAGCGTGAGGAGAGAAAAAAATAGCTCGCTGCAGCATCCGAGATATGGTGAGTCGTGGAGGGGAAGAAAGGAGAGGAGAAGAGAATAGAAGGCAATTGGAAGGAAAGGAAGAGAAAGAGAACAAGATGTAACAGAACGGAAGAGAACGTCGGACTGTGTGAGCTATCATATGGCAGTTATTCGATAAAATAACGTAATAACATCGGCGATGTGCGCATTATTTCTATGGAAAACACGAAAGAAACGGCACTATATTCGCCTAACGATAAGTACATAAATGAGCTATAAATAACATAATAATAATAATATCAATAATAATAATAATAATCATCATCATCATCATCATTGCCATAATAATTGTCTTGCACGAATGTGCGATCACTTATAAACGAAAATGTACATCGTAATAATAATATATTGCAAATAATATATTGCTCAAGCTATGTATAATTGATCGGGATCGATATTGCTAATGAAGATCGCGCCTGACACATTTGTACACATTACATCTCCTGAACACAATTGGAGTAACTAGAGGAGAGAAAAAAGAAACACCGTGAACGCTTTGCGCGGTGCACATTGTACATTTAACGAAAAAAAGCGATAAGCAGTATTTTAATCGCGACGATTAATTAACATCATTAAATCGCGATGATCAATGATTATTTTAGATAATATCATACGGTAATTGAATTCGCTGGCAGGAAACGCGACGTTCGGTAACGGGAGATGGAGGAGGGGGGGGGGGGCAACAAAGGTACTCGAACGCGTCGCTCTTTTCCCTCTGTGCGCGGAAAAATTAAAAAGTTAAAAAATTAATAGCTGCCCCAAGCTGCCCCAGTTCTGTTCAGAAGTGCAACGTGTGCGGCTGTGTCAAAGGGATAATTAATAATAAACAATTAATTAAAGCACTCGTCGAACGTAGCACTCGACGTACGCGAATCACGCTATCACGTAAAAGAAAGAAGAATGTATGTAAAAATCAAATAATACACATAATACAATGCAACATAAAATAAAATCTCTTTGGCTCTTTGCGCGATTGGTGAGAAACAAAAGATTGCGTGGATCGTTCTCTCCTTCTCTCGCGTCTCGATCGATGCGCATTTGTACAGGGCGTATCAGAAATTGCGCACGTTCTCTCGATGAGAACTCGTTCTGCGGAGTCGAGATTGATTTTTCGCTCGGAGAAGGTCGGATTGCACGTCGGATTGCGTATCGCGACGCATTCGCGATTTAAATCGTGCGTGAACGCTAATTCGCCATTCGAAGTTTCGCGTATTGAGTTGCTGAGTAATAATCGAAGTAAGATTCGCTCGAAGTGCTGAGCGGGGGAAAACGGAAAGGGAAAGAAAGAATACAACGAGGAATCCGCCAACTGTTCGTACTCTCGCGAAGCTCTCGATCGCGAAAATAAAAACGTGAAAAAAAAATAAAAATACAAGCATAAAAAAAAGGGAAAAAATCGCCGCTCGACGCGATTCCGCACGCAAATCGTGTATTTACACCGTTGCGGATCGTGCCTTGCTCTTGCTCGTGCGTGAAATCAGATCGATCGGATGAAAATTTCGCCGCGTGTACAACAAATGTGTCCGGATAAGCTGCGGGATGGATGGATGGGTGGATAGACAGACGATATCGGGTCGGATATCGGCCGGCTCTCGCGTGCTGGAAACACGGAAAAATCGAAAGCAACACGGGGGGCCGTAATATCTGTTTTGTACTTACACTCTCTTACGGTAATATCATGCGTGTGGAATAGAAATTATAGATTGCACGGCCACGGGGCCTCGAGGGCCGCCTCGCGAGGCCTTCGCCTACAGTGAAACGAACGAGAAATGTGACGTACGTTTAGAGTTAGTAGCTTACACCGGGATGAAGAAGAATTATTGGCACACTGTCATA